CAAATAAATATAATTTTTTTCATATTTAATGAAGTAATTGCAATGATAGCCATAAATAAGAGTAATTGTTCTTACTAGTAAGAATGACATTAAAAATAATAGACATCTGGAATGAGACAAATGTGGGGCAAAAAATAAGAAAATTATACTATGATTTTTAAAGTGATGAAAGAAACCTTCCAGGAGGTTATTAGAAAAATTCTGCATAACTGTGCCTGCTTATGATTCTTCTGTCATATTCTCCAACTTTCTTAGGCGCTCTGTTCCCTTGTCCCTTTTAAAAGTTACTCACTTGCATTCTTGTTTTCTCTGTTGCTCTGTTTATGCTGCCCTGAAAATGAGCACTTTTTTTTTATAGTTTCTGTGTAGAGACTTGCCCCAGTGCTTGCAACCTTCTCTTCTACACTGAACTCACCCTGAAACCTCCTAAAACTTGATTCTGGTGATGGTGTAATCTCCTGGCTCTGACCCTAGGCAATGGTCTCACCTATGGTCTCTGCATGACTCCATGATCCCTGGGACAGACACAAAGGCATACTTTTCATAAGCAACTACTGATTTAAGATGATTGCACTAAGAAATGCCATCTAAAGACATGCTTTACACTTTCTAAAAATCAGTATTTGATAGTCTTTGAAACTGATCTCTACGTTTGGACTTCTTAATGTTTCTGAATCACTTAAAAATTGGGAGCATTTTTCAAAAATTTTTAAATAATATACTGTAAAAACAGACTATATAAAATCTTTTTAGGTATCTCTTTGGAAATGCAAGCTCTGATACAATGCAGTGGTGTGGGTTAGCTGAAAGAATAGGCAAAGTTTCCAAAAGTAATGACTCTGCCACGCCAATAATTTATGAGCCATTTTTTAAAACATCAGCTATCAGATGGAAGTGGGAGGAATAATAGAATATAACTTCTGCTTTACAATGGCCTGTTAATACAGAAAGGCAGAGGCGCCTGTGCTCTAAGGAAGCTGTCAGCAGAGCTGCAGGCTGGAGGTCCCAGTATTGCTCACAGTACTGGCAAGGAGGAGACCACTGCTCGGGAATGGAGCTTGAGGAGAGAAGCAAAAGGAAAAGGCTGTGGGGGGCTAGAAGAGGAGAATCAAGGATCTTTCTTCACCATTCTTTTTTTACAGCTTTTGTATATCTGGACTGATTTGTTGTGGGAGAGCTGCTGGAGACAGTATATTTGGCACAAGACAGGGTAGCTCAAAGCCAAAAGGATGGTGCTATTGCCAGTTTAAACTATGGCTTTTCTTTTTTACTTTTTTTTTTCCTTCCCCCTCCCTCCTTTTTCTTTGAAGGAAGGAAAAGAAAAAAGGGGAAGAAAGGGATTTGCAATGAAAACCAGAGCAGTGGGTTAACAAGAACCCTGCAGGCTTCAGTAGACTGGAAAGATACACGAGGCACTTCCTCTACCATCTGGCATGCAATTCTGCTGCTGCTGCTCTTAGTACATAACTTTGGAGTGAATAAGCAAACAAGCAAAACTTTTTTTAAGAGACACCAACTATGAAACACCAGCTATTAATCTGTCAGCTTACTCTCTTCACTTTTGTCCCACTACAGTATTCCTTTCCTCAAGTCGTTTCCAGTTCTCATGTCTACCTGTGGAAATATGCACTGCCTTGTCATGTTTTCAGATGACTCCATGGGCCTTTTTTTGGCATTGCTTCTCAGAATGAATGAGGGACAGAGTTAATGCATTTATATTTCTCTTGTAATCACTTAAGCTTCTTTAACTCAGAGTCAGAGAGAAATGCAGTTGATAGAAATAAAGCAATCCATCTCTGCTGAGCTACTTCCTTCAAATATGGCTGGAAGTGTGAATGCAAAAGATAACTTTTAGGTGAGCCAAGCTTGCTGAAGGACTGTTTAAAATGCAGTTACAAATGGCTGGGTACAGTGCTGTGTAGGAGTATGCATGATGTTGAGGTCACATCTTCAAGTTGGGTAAATCATCACAACACAGCTGAAGTCAGAGAAACAGAGAACTTGCAAAATCTGAGCATTTTGTCAATTAGAAATCTCTGAGAGTGATGCTACAGCTGATTTTTGGTGCTAGAACTCCTCATATTCAAATCTCTCAGGCTTTCCTGTGAGCAGCTCTTGTGTGGCTGCATTCTTATAATGAAAAAGACCAAAAGAAAAGTCAGTTACAGAAAAATCTTGGATGAATTCAAGATAAGTAATACTGAATTGGAGTACAACTGTGAAGCATAAGTTTATTAAGAATAAGATTAATTAATTTACAGACATACCCATAAAAGCCAAGCAACAATTTGAATATATTTTTTTTTCATTCACAACTGCTGATCCTTAAACTGACCAGAAATCAGAGAGAAAAACAAAACCAAAAACTCCAGGCTATCTAAAACAGTTGTTTTCATTTGATAGCAATTTTACAAGAGAAAAAGTACATACATTTTGTTTGGTTTATTACACAGCTTCTTGAAATACTGATACTACAACAACAGATGTATTTCAGTTTGTTTTTTGACTGGCCTCCTCCTTTGCACCTGTAGAACTGTAAGTGAAAACAAATACAACAATTAATCCTGATCCTATGCATAAGACAGGTACCTACCCAAGTGATCCAACTACAAATGATACAAAACCTTTCACAGTTTTAAAGACACAAGAAGGTAGTGTAGATTTTGAAATATCAGTAGATTTTTATTGTTGCTTTCAAGAGGGCTAGTGGCTAAGTTCTGTTGACCACTTAAATATTTCAGATATTCATCTAAAAATTAGTCTGGACATCTGTGAATGCATTGCCTTTTATCTTTTATCATAGAATCATTATGGTTGGGAAAGACATCCATGACCATTGAGTCCAACCTTTGGCAGTACATCACCCTGCAGCTAAACCACAGCACCAAGTGCTGCCTTCAGTTATTTCTCGGTCACTTTTTGCATTCAGTGAAGCTGGAAATGGCACAAGCATAACCCTTCTTTCAGAGTGCTCTGGCACTTCTGCTCTTTGCCTCAGTGGGGACCACAGAGGTTAACAAAGAGGAAAAACAACAGCTGAAAAAAGTTACTGCAACTCCTTGTTGCACAAAACTAAAATTAAGTAGTTGGGGTGTAAGGTTTAAACTACTCAGTCGGCAAAGAGTCTTCAGAGTCTTCAAAGTCTTCCGGACTTCAGTTGCATAGTTTGTCTGTCTTTGATACGAACAATGCTTCAAAGAGTAATTGCATGAGACTCACCAATATAAAACACCAAAAATATCACAATAAGCCATATGAAAATAAAACCAATAAAATTTGCCTTTCTAGAAAATTATAATCACAGGTTATATGAATGTTGTCCGTGCTTGTGCTACTGTACTGCCCATCATCTATTTCTTTGTTCTTAACTCCTTTGTTCAAGAGTCAGGATATCCTGATACAAAAGACTGAAAAATATCAGCAAAACAACAACATTACTACACTACTTTGGAATTGCTTCATAATTTTCAAGGCAAAGCTACCAAGTGTAGAGTGCCAATACTATGGCATTACAATCTGCAATGAAAACTTAAGCAAACCATTAGAGTTGTCAGTTTGATGTTGGAACATCAATATATTCAAGGCAGAGATCCTGTAACAGGGGAAACGGCATGATGTTAATATGAGGAGGAGAGGCGTGCACTCTGTTTTCTACATGTAAGGGTGTTAAGTTTCAGTCCATTCTCTTGACTTCTCTTCCTGTGGGAAGGAAGATCCTGCTTGTTTGACGGTTTGTTTTTCCATCTGGAGAGAAGGCAGAACATTGAATGTAACCCAGAGAAGACAAACGTATTAACTATGCATGCGAGGAAAAGCTATAATGCCCAGTAAAATCCCATTAAATAAGTCTGCAATTTTGCTGAAAACTAAATGCTGGTGCAAGAGCTCAACCTCCACCCCTCCGCTGTACGCTCTGCAAACTAAGGGACGGACCAGTACCACGATCAGGCTAAAAGGTGTATCTTGTATAAAGGCAACATAAATGTTGGGAAAATCGCATGGTCCCTCCGGGTCTGGGATCCCCGGGAAGGGCCGGGTGCCGCTACAGGGTCTGGCCAAAGGCAGCCCTCAAGTCCGGGGAAGCCCACGCTGACAGCTGCGCAGCCCCAGCACGCCACCTCTGCTGCTGCATGAGCCAGAGCACTCCCCCGGGCGGCTTTGCCTTGTTTTTAAAGATTAGCGATGAATAATTGCCTCCTCGTCCTAGTCTGGGAGCGACCGCTGCCACCAGGCACTGTCCTAAAGTGAACCCGTTCAGGTGGAGCTTTAGAGCCGCAGTGATTGCGGGAGCGGGGCAGACCCCAACACCCTCTCCTAAACCCGTCCTTTCAGCAACTCGTTCCTCTGCGACCCCTCAAGTGCCGGCCCCTCCGCTGCCCCTCTGGGTGCCCGCTCGGGCTGGCGTCCGGGAGCGGGGCGGGCGGGGGCAGCGCACTCGTGCTCCGCTCCCGGCCCTCGCAGCGTCCCGTGAATCACCGCCCATCCTCCCGCCGAAGGGCAGCCGAGGTGACGGCGGGGTTTGTCTAAAAGGCCAAAACCCCCACCGGCTCCGCAGCCAGCGGGGCGAGGAGGAAGGCGGGGCGGCGGGGGCTCCCCCATGGCATCACGGCAGGGATAAAGTCAAAGTGTTTCCGCCGCGGCGCTTAGCGGGGTGTGAGCTGCGTCTGTGCCGGCGCGGCCCCGCTGCCCCGAGTGCCGCCCGCAGCAGCGGCCCGAGCCCCCGCCCCCGGGTCCCGGCGCCGCGCCGGCATGAGCGGCGGCCCCGCGCCTGCCCGGCAGCCGCTTTGCCCCGGCTGCAGGCGCCTGGCGGCGGGCTGAGGGCGCGCAGCGGCGGGAGCCGAGCACGGCCGCGGGAGCCCGGCGCTCCTTCCTTCCGCGGGGCCGGGCGCGCCCCTGGCGAGGGGCGGCGGCGGTGGGCAGCCGGGCGCCCTCGCCCCGCTCTGGATGCCCATCGCGGCTGCTCGGGCCGGGGGGTGGCTGCCGCTCCCCGGCGGGGGGCCCGGGCCAGGATGCCGGTGCTGGAGCGCTTCTTCCCCGCGGCAGAGCCGGGCAGGCGGAGGAGGACGGGGGACGAGGCGATGCCCTTTCCCATGGGCAGCCTGCCCGGTTATCAGCAGGGGACCCTGGCCTGGGACTTGCCCGAGATGATCAAGATGGTAAAGCTCGTTTGGAAATCCAAGGGGGAGCTCCGCGGGGCGAAGCACAGAGGCGTTTTGGAGAGCGAGGATGCCCTGGGCGGTTCGGCAGGTAGGTTTCCCCCGCGCTGCTGCTCGGGGAAGCCGCGGGGCAAACGCGGCTGGGGGCCGGGGGCGGCGGGGAGCCTCGGCCGGAGCCGGACCGTCCCGTCGTGGGGCAGAGCCGCCGGGGCCGCGGAGCTGCCGGACCGAGCGCGGCCGGGCTGAGGAGCAGCCCGTGCTTCGGGCAGCTCTCTGCCGCCGCCGGGACTCGCGCACCGGAGTTTGTGCCGCGCTGGAGCCACGTCAGTTTGCCGATGGCGCTCCCCCGGTCCGGTCTGTTGCGTGGCTTTTGTACGCGGGGTGATTAAAGCTCGGCTGAAAACCAGAGCGAGTAGCTCCGCGGTCGGAGCTCCGCAGCCGCGGCCCCGCGGTCAGGGTGACGGAGAAGCGGCGCCCCGGGGCCGCCGGGCAGCCCGGCCGCTGCCGGAGCTTCCCCGGCTGTGTTCGCGGTGCCCTCCCGAGCGCATGGCCTCTCCTCTCCCACCGCCGAACCTCTCTCCCCGATCTTTGCCTGCGCTGGGCTCCCTTCACAGGACCTGCCCGCGCTTCCCTTGTGCAAATCTAAACGACTCCCTTACGGCTTGGATTTTGATAGCCACCACTATTAAAAACTTGAGAAACGCTGCCCTATCCGACTACTTTTTCTTTAAACGTGATATATTACTGGGTAAAGAGCAAGTGCCTTTTCCTTAACTGTATAAATCTTGTCTGTCAGTTTTTTTCCGATCTCACTAACATATGGCATGTCATCACGTGCTTTACTGAAGTCCAGGTTAGACCTGCAGCATTTTCATTAGGTAGAGATGAGTTGACAGGTTAGCCGGGTACTTCTGATCAGTTGATTCTGCCTCATAACCTGTGCTCCGCACTGCTTATGGTTCAAAACCTCTTGCCTTCTGTTAAAGTCAGAGTCATAGGCCTCTGGTTGTCTCAGTACCAGTTGGTAATTTTTTATCCTACTCTAATTGAAATGCTGTGATTTAATAGACTTTATGAAACTGTGTGGCTTGTTTCTTCAGAACTCTAGATTATCTTCATCTCTGTGGCTGGGTCACTAAATTCTTCTGATGCATTCAGTTCTTCAGCCATTGTGCCTTCACCTTCCTTTGGTGTACCTGTTACTGAGACATATAATTGACAGTACTTTGTACCAGAATAATTTAATTTCTTAGGTAGAATCACCTCTTTGTAGGTATTTCGAAGTTTTGTGTATGTACGTATATATTCTCCATAATTATATATATAAACTTGAATATTAAGTAGGTATCAGTCTATCACTTTTGAATGCCTGCTAAGGTTGGCTGGTTGGTCATTGTATTTCTATTATTTAAAATATGTGTAGTTTAAGGAAAGAATGCTTGGTCCACTTCCATTTTGAAAAAGGGGAGATAGGTCTCGGGCTCTGAGGAAGATGTACAATCTGTCACCCTACTTTTGGGGAATCATTCCAGTTTAAAAGAATAATAAGTAAGAGTGAGTGGATAATGAAAGAGGAGGTCATATTGCTCTTTAAGAGTTGGAGCAAATCAGCTGGGAATGTACAGTAGCCAGCCAGGGAGATCGAGGCTTGTGTGGTGAATGCTGAGTGTTCAGAGATGGACCCTAATTAAGCAACTCAAGAAATGCTGCATTGCTTACACTTTATGTATGAGTAATGGTGGTTTTTCAGTGTGCTTGTGTTGTATCTGGTGAAATTACTTTCATTAGGTAACAAATGAGATTCACCTTCAGATTCCTGGAGGCAACTAAAAATGAGCGTGAATGTAGAGAGACAGATTAGTCCACTAGCAGGATGTGAGTAACTTGCATTTACTCAGATGGCCATTACTCGTATCCTGTGGAGGGGACAGTCCTCTTCATGGTGCCAGATCTATTTCATAAGCTCAGCTGACTCGCAGCAGTACAAATCTGGGCAGAAGATGACTCTTAACTCTCAACACTTTAAATACGAATCATCAGACACTTTGAGGGAACCAGACCTGGGTTGCTGGTTTTTCCTCCTCAGCAACAGTCATCCTAGTAGTTTTCCCTCTTGTGGTTTCATTTTAGTCACTTTAAGTACATTGGAGTATGTGGGAAAACCAGTAAATGCTGAAATCTAGTATACTTAAATAAGTGCAGAGTCAAAGAATGCAGAAATGGGAAGAAGAGATAATCATTTGGAAGGCTCAGTAGTTTGAGGTACTCAGCTTCATGTTTGTGTGATGTTTTTTACATGTTTGATTCCTGGAGAAAAAAACAGAACAAAACTTCATAACTCGTATCTTATAAAAAAAGCAGTACTTAGTCAGGAATCAAATTTTCTTCAGGTGGAGTTAAAGCAAATAACTTCTGCTTGAGGTACTGCTAGCTAGGCAAATAAAGGTTGATTGTTCAGTAGTAGAATTCACAGCACTTTCCACATCAAGGGCTTTTTCATTTGAATTTGTAAGTATTCATGTGATAACTCATGTTCTGTTATCACATCCTCATGAAACTACTTTGCTTACAGTAGAAGAGGAAATAGATATGAATTCTGGAAGGAAACAGTCAGGATTTCTGGCTTGCTTGATCATGTTAATACAGATTTAGCTAAGCAAATTTCTTTGCCTTGTCCGAGTGATTGGACTGGGCTTTGGACTGGATGGCTAGAAAAGTCACAACCCTCTTAACCACAGACAGTGTGAAGGAGGGAGAGCTATATCTGCACATGATGTCAGTTTTGTGGATGGCAACGTCTTGGGCACCCATTTAGCCGTAATTTATACCACATTCCCCATTCCTGAGGTAGGAGTAGAAAGCAAAACGATCTACGTGTCTTGGGCTCTCATATGTAAGAGCTAAATCTGGGTCTTTCACCTTGTCCAGTACTGAGAATAAGCTACTTAATCTCCCTGGAAAAAAAAGGGTTTGCAATGCATCATGCAGCATGTAGTTGGGATGAATGAAGAACTCAGATTTCAGTGACTGCCTGCCTGGGGTTTCTAATGATGATTTATTTTCACTTCCAAAGCAGTAAAACTCACATCTTGAGTCTTCTCTTGTTGCACTGCTTTTTATTGTTAGTATCAATTAAGACTACAGACCTTTCTCCTGCTCCAGGCCTGCTGTTGCTTAGTAACTCTTTCCCCCCCCATTTCAATCCCTGACCAAATCAGCACAAAACTGAGATTTGTTGAAGACTCTCTCCAACTGTGACAGGAGCCATTTCTGTGGGAAATGGGTATAATTCGATGTCATTCCATACTGTGTTTCAAATAGATTATTTGCAAGCCAATGCCTTTTACTTGAATGAAATAACAGCATGTGTTGATATTATTACAACTGAATTATTCAAATAATTCTGATCTGCAACTGTGTTGATCTCTAGGAGGGAACTGTGTTCTGTTTATGACCCCAACTTTCTTATCACCCTCTCCTAGAGTTCAGCAGTAGCTTTGCATATCAAACAAACCTGATCAGGGAACAGGTACAGGTTTGCCTCCAAGTCTTCGTTAGGAGCATTAGCAACCTCTTAAGCTTACAGTGATCATCCCAGATAACTCCAGAGAGACTTTCTGTACTGAATCTTGCACATGTGCAAACATGCATGACTTTGAGAGAAGGTGCTACTAAGAATTATTAAGGTCTGTTGAGACACTGGGTTTTTTGAAAACTCTGAATGTTTTTTTCCACTCACCTCTTTCTGTTGGTGGATGTTTTCTCAGAAATGTAGGTTCTGATTCATGTGTGTATCATGCTTGTTGTTAACTGGTGAGTCCCTTTGCCATGAGTAGGAAAAACAAGCAAGTACCACTCCTATTACAGTTGGGAAAATCTCCACCAGTTACTGGTGTGTCTCTTTAGTCCACTTTAGTCTCCTTTACAGTTCAGTAGTCTATTCAAACTTCCTGCTTGTTCTTTCAAACCTTAGAGCTGAGCAATCTTGTGATATACCTGTTGAAGAGCTCAGAGTCAAATCATGTGTGTTTCCTCAGTGGTTGCTTGAAGGTCTTCCTTAAAGTTATTCACAAAACTCCCAAAGACTTAGTTCATCCGTAGTATCCCAGGAATCATGCCTTCTACTTAATTTTTCTTTTGTATTTAACAATTTTTATCATGCTGTGTAATAGCTTTGCTGTTCATGTTAAAATAAACTTCCCCTTCCTATCATTGCTTATAGAATCACAATCTGATTTGGGTTGGAAGAGTCCTTTAAAGACCATCTAGTTTCAACCCCCCAGCCATGGGCAAGGACACCTTCCTCTAGACTAGGTTGCTCAAAGTTCCATCCCACTTGAAGACTTCCAGGAATTGGCATCCACAACTCCTCTGATCAACCTGTTTAGGTGCATGTTTAGTTGTGACACCTTGAAACTCATGCTTGCGTTTGTAGTTCCCTCGCAGTAACTCATAATCATAAAATCTTAAAATTTAAATCTGCAAATTGCTGAGAACCAAATGGGGGTTTGGCCAACAGCTTAAAAGCTCATAGTTTTGAGTATTTGGTGCTGAGCATGTAGGTGCCACAAATGTAGATCCTTGTACTAAATAAAATGTGGGAGGTATCAAATGGCATTGTCTTAGCATCTAACCAGTCTCCTGTGTTATTGTTTAGATTGAAATCAGCTTTGTTTATGGCCTGCTGACAGATGCACAGCAGGTAGGAGGGCAGATTACTATATATTTCTGAGGTTAGGTTTTCTTTTCTTCTTTTTTTCCCCCAAGTTTTATGTTGAGACTTGTTCAATCCATTGCACTTAGAAGGACAAAGAATGTGAATTTGATATGATCAAGACTACCTGTGGCAACTTTGATTGCTCACTGACTGTTGTGTTGAAAGTCCTGGCCCTGGGAACAAGAAATATGCTATTCAGTATTTCGTGAAGAGCTGGTTAAATCAGTGGAACTGTGTGTGATGGTCTCATTAAAAATGGTGAAATTAAACAGTGTACAGTACCACTTCTGTAGTGTGTGTATGTAGACCAAGAGAAAAAATTCAGACCACATCTATGGGTAATGCTGTTCAAACACAACTCTTCAGTTCACTGG